GGTATTGCTGTTGGAGTCATAAATGATGTGCGAGTGTGGAAAAATTATGGTGTACAAGATGTAACTGGAGAAATCTTAAAATATGGGTACGGTTTGCTTAAGGAGTGACTGCATGCTTTGTTTAATGTGTATGTGAAGACTACTTCTATGCCTGACAACTGGAAGGATGCTATTATTGTTCCCCTACACCAGTGTTGTCCAAACTTGGCCACTTTAAGATGAGTGGACTTCATCCCCATGCTGGCTGGGGAATTCTGGGAGTTGAAGTCCACTCATCTTAAAGTGGCCAAGTTTGGACAACACTGGTGTAGGGGAACAATAATAGCATCCTTCCAGTTGTCAGGCATAGAAGTAGTCTTCACATACACATTAAACAAAGCATGCAGTCACTCCTTAAGCAAACCGTACCCATATTTTAAGATTTCTCCAGTTACATCTTGTACACCATAATTTTTCCACACTCTCACATCATTTATGACTCCAACAGCAATACCAAAATAATTAACCTTTCCAATTTGCTGGACTGTATAATTTTTATCTTGGCTCCAAAATTTTCGGAATGGAGAGAATTTCTTAAACCCTTTTGGGTCAGAATTCAGACTGGTTAGGGGACATACATTATTTAGGGTATCTTGGTAAATTATACTTCCTTCCTGGAAGAGTGGCTTTGAGCGGTGATGTTGGGGACCCTAGTCTCAGTGTTGTACTTATGATTTTGTATTGCCTATGTTGTTTTGAAGTGCAGCATACAACTTTTTAATATAAGTAATTAAATAAAACCAGGAGAGGCTGTCTAGAGCTTTGGCATTCAATGCCATTAATATATTGAAGGTAGCAATGTTTGTCTTCTGATAAGTCCAAGCTGTTATTCTAGCTCTAAATTCATGCCCCACCTCTTCTTGCAGAGGACCAGAGGGGGCATGGCTTGCTGGATCTGAGAAGTGGTCACCATGAGAGGGTGCTTCCTGCAACCTTAAACGACTGTGGTACATCCCCCCCTTAAGAAGCCCTCCTTACATCAGCCATATTGGACAACTATTCCCTTTCTTCAACTTTCTCTTTTTAGGAAGCTTGTTGAAACTTTGGTGGGGAGGCAGCTACACAGTGCCTAGGGGAAGCAGCATATTGACAGTGCTGGTTGAGGAGCTTTGCTGTGACCTGGTCTGGTGAGGTGTGCTGGTAGAACTCTTGGTGGTCTTTGATACCGTTGACCATGATACACTTCTGGACTGCCTACAGGGGTTGGAGTTTGGGGGTGCTGTCTTACAGTAGCTCTACTCCTTCCTCAGTGAGTAGTTCTTGTCAGTAGTTGTGGGGGGAAAAAGATTGGCCCAATGTCTTCTGTTCTTTCTTCTTTTAAATATCTAAAAGAAGTCAATGGAAAAACTCATCCATCAATCTGAGGTGAAACATCAATACGCTGATGATATCCACTTGTACATCAGTACTCCAGGTTTCACTGATGATGTGCTTTAAGTCTTATCCTTGTGCATGGAGACTGCAAGGGAGAGAAAATACAAGTTGATGTTGAACCTAAGCAAGATGTAGTTACTATTTGTCCATCCAGGCTGTCAGTTCCAATGTTCTCTCTCAGAGGAGTGGCAGCGCCTCTAAGGGAACAGGTTTAAGACTTGAGGGCCTTCCTGGACTTGTGGCCACTGCTGGTTGGGCAGGAGGAGGTTGTGGCCACAAGGGCATTTGCCCAGCTCTGGTTGGTGTGCTAGTTACAGCCTTATCTATAACAGGAGGATCTTGCAGTGACAGATCATGCTGTCATCACTATCCATTTGTTGGTTGAACTATTTTAATGCGCTTTACTGGGGCTGCCTCTAAAGATCACTTGGAAACTGCAGTTGGTACAAAATGCAGCAACCAAAATACATGAGGGTCAGGAGTACATTATATGAATGGTGTAGGCTCTGTGCTGATTACAGATAGGTTTCCAAATGCAATTTAAAATGCTGGTATGATCTCTTCACCCAATATGGATTGGTACCAAGAATCCTTGAGGACTCCTTATCTAGAATTGACCTGTTTAATACATCTGTCCTTTCCAAAATTACTT